ATATATTTTTATTGATTATTTATTCCAGATTGACATATATGAGTGTTACATTAAGCCTTTGACATTTTTATGTTACCATATGCAATTGTATGTTATTCTATTCATTTTACGCATTTTATGCTATCCTAGTCTATATTTTATGAATCATTATTTTAGTGTATCTTTTCATATCATTGGTGATTTTATATATGGACATATATATTTTATTTATGTGTTTTTTATCACTTGAGTATTTACACTCTTGGTATAGATTGTTGCACCTTGAGCACAGTCGATAAAATGGTATTAATTTTGATGGTGAAGGATTGAATATCAGGACCTGCTATGGTAATTCTGATCACCCACCTGGGACTAAGAGCCACCATTTATGGCAATAATTGTTCTGTGTGCTTTGATTGCTGGGTGCAGCTATATCTTTAGCCACCAGTATTTAAATAGTTAATCTTTGGCAAATACGGTGTCTTGAAATGCAGATATGTTGAATTGTCTGGTCTCTCAGATAATGGCAGTGGATTCGCACATATATGCGATTCCCAACCCCAGACCAGTCATTAATGCTACTGTATATAAGAATTTTTCTATAACAATTTTCTTTAGGACACACCATTATCAACTTTTTTACTACATTTTATTTTATATTCTGTATATATTTCTTACTGTAGATTTATGCATCCGGAGCACCTCCACATGCCGTGGATAAGTTAGCATTATCTTCCCTATTAATCACCATTCTTGGTGATAAAAGCACTTGTTAAGGGTTTTGGTGCTATACTTTCCGCTGTAATACCGGACTGATTATTTTGTTTACCCCCCTGGGATTATGAGCCACTATTCCTGGCTCAAATGCGCCTTTCAGTGCACCCTGACAGCTGTATGTAATACATCTCAGCTGACAGTTTCTATATCCACGGCAAAATGGCGTCTAGGCATGCGCAGTTGCCCGGTCCACTCGAAAATGGCGGTGAGTTTGTGCGCATGCGCGACTCCCGTTTTTTGATATATAAGTATCTGGCGTCTGTCACAAAGCTGTCAGCTTCCCCTCTGAAGATGTGCCTTAGCACGAAAGGCCTCAGGAGGAACTGACAGCTTGTGAGGCCTCATCGCCGCCCAGACCACGAGGAGGTCTGGCGGCCATTTTACTTTAGGTCAGTATTAGAGTTTTTTACCTTGCACTTTCTGGCTTTTTGCCAGTTTCAACACTGACCTGTCCTGTACTAAATTTGTTACCAATAAAAGTTTTGACATACTACACTATGGGCATTTTCCCATTTTTTACCCCTCATTGAGGGGTTATCAGACTAGCAGACACAGCTACACCTGGAGGAGGGAGCCCTCACCTGGCCGCTTTATCCTGATCCTAAGGAGGTCCTGTGAGCCTAGCAGATCACTGCCTGATGACACCCCTTCCTGAGGGAGTACGATACCTGTGATTTAAATACACAAATGCGCATTTCCTATGTGCGGTCGGTGAGTGCGCATTTCTGTCATTTCCACTGGATCCTTCTAGCTGTGTATACCATTTTATTGATTGAAATATCTCACGAACTTTTGACAACTAATTTTTAAGAACGAACTTTTTGATATGTTTTAGCGCTGCACTTTATTTATCTATTCAATCGCGAGGAGGTTGTGATCCCCTCTTGTGCCATTAGCTGCTTATTCTCTCATTGACATTTTCTCTCATTTAAAGAGCACTCACTTTATTTTATATATTTTATAACACTTTCTGAAAGCTTTGAAAATACTTTGTAAAAACTTGCAGTACACACTGCTTTTTGCAAGCTTAAAGCATAAGTATTGCCAGGCATTGAAACCCCTTACTGAATCAGGATCCCAGGGACACATTGCACTTGGTCCCATTCATTCAAAGCTGTGCTGTGGTTGCTGAGCTTGCATGATTGCTATTTCGAGGAGACAGACTTGGCAGCTACAATAGTTATTCTTTAAAGCCCATGTGAACAAGAATTTAGAGTAAAAAAGGGGATGCTGTTGCGCTTAGGAAAAAAATTAACATATATGTGAAAAAATTAACTATATATAAGATACCTATATAGCCGCAGTCCTAAATGTGATTTTCTAAGCACAAAATCTTATATATTGCAAAATTGGACCGCACTAAGGTCACAAATTGACAAAATAAACTGTGCAATCTTTAAAGTGATAACACTGAGCAAAATACAAATAAATACCTGTTTCGACCAATAGATTGTCTTCAGGAAGTACAAACGTTTTTTGTACTCCCTGAAGACGATCTATTAGACGAAACTAGTCGAGGACTTATGACACAACTTCCGCTGACGTCACTTCCGGTATTTGGAACACACGCCGGAATGCGGCGGCCATATTAATTCCCATTAATAATATACAAAGCTGAATACACCTAGTGCCTGGAAAGGCACTTTTTTTTTGTGAGCGGCATTTCTATTGTTTGACCCCATATTAAAGTTTTATACAGTTTTACACTATGGGATGTCTGGTTTTGTTTTGATTTATGCTGAAAATATGAAATACTGCTTGTGGAGGAGTGGAGTTGCCTAACATTGATGCAGATCTATTATTATTATACAGTATTTATAAAGCGCCAATAGTTCGCTCAGCGCTGTACATTACAAAGGGGGACAGAACATGTGACAGAACAATACCAATACAATGCAAAACATGAGGGGATTGAGGGCCCTGCTCTTTCGAGCTTACAATGTAGGAGGGAGGGGATAGTGGTACAGGAGGAGATAGCTGTGGGGGATGGAGTGGTAGGAAGAGTGGAGGAGGTCGGCAGGTTAGTAGGGGGTGGGGTAGGCTTCCCTGAAGAGATGGGTTTTCAGGGTGCACCTAAAGAGAGGAGAGTAGGTGATAATCTGATGGGTTGGGGCAGGGAGTTCCAGAGGATGGGTGACCCCCCTGAGAAGTCCTGGAGGTATGCATGGGAGGAGGAGACCAGGGAACTAGAGAGAAGGAGGTCTTGTGAGGAGCGGAGTGTGCGTGCTGGGCGGTACTTGGATATTAGGTCAGTGAAGTTATTGGTTACTACCAGCAACCACGGTTATAAGAGCGAAGGAATATCGGCCATCAGGACCGGATTGCAAACTGGGATAGTCCCAAAAAGCGAGTGTGACTTACCTAGAGATAAGGTGGTCATGAAATGACGGTGAGTTTCCATCTATGTGGGGCAGCAGTGTGAACACAGTGAAGCACTTGTCATTTCAGTATGGAGTATCACCGTTAAAGATACGGCACCATTGCACCAATTATTCACATGTTGAGAATGACTATTAATATTGTATTTGTATTTTGCTCAGTTTTATCACTTTAAAGATTGCACAGTTTATTTTGTCAGTTTGTGACCTTAGCGCGGTCCAATTTTGAAATATATAAGAATTTAGAGTAGCCTACCATCAACTATGTACCATCAAGGAGAAATTGGATACTAAACTGATTGTTTCGGTAGGCCTTTACCCTATATGAATATTGGTAAATACGGAGACTGGAGATGTTACAGTATGGTTGTAATGTGTGTATTCAGCTAAAGTAAGAAAAAGTTGTTCTAATACTGAACTTCTACTGACCTCCAAATGCCTAAGCACTTATCACTGCCCAGAATGCCAAAGGCCAGCGAAGAGTTTGCTGGCTATGGCACTCTGTATAATAAAAAAAATAGTGTAGCGCTCTTATCATATAACGAAATATGTGCAAAATACACAATATAGAATCCTAAAATAAATAAATAAATATATTGTATTCCTCCATAAGCAATAGTGACAAACAAATAAAATTAGACTAAAATTAAAAAAAAGAAATCTATCACCCACTTGAAAAATACGTGTACCCACATACACATGTTTGCTAAAAATAATAAGTGACTAATAATTAACACAAATATATATATATATAGTGCACACACACCTGTTATATTAAGCAAAAAAAATCCAAAGAAAACTATATCCAATAAGGGAACTATACATAGTGGGTGATAGATTTCTTTTTTTGAATTTTAGTCTGGCGCTATTTATTTGTTTGTCACTATTGCTTATGGAGGAATACAATATATTTATTTATTTATTTTAGGATTCTATATTGTGTATTTTGCACATATTTCTTTATATGATAAGAGCGCTACACTATTTTTTTATTATGTATTGACACTGTTTTGGTATCAGTTTTTTGAGTGTTGGCAGCTTTAGACTAGGTTGTATACTTTCATTTCATAGCGCAGGAGGATCTCTGACCATATGGCACTCTGTACCTATCAGGTGTCTATGCTGAGCTGGATGCACAGTGTTTCAGGGTCTTCGGCAGGCTACTTTATATGCAATAGTGACTAGTCTTCCAATGTGCCTTTCCACTCAGCGCCTCACCGGGCCTAGTATACACTTCAGCAAACTGAGCAGTGGTGGCTGAATTTTCTTCATGTTCTATCACGTGTTGTAAGCATTAGTACTTTTAATTCTTTTAACCTGAACTATTGCACAATTCTAATGCTGATCAAAACGCATCAACTTCATGCCGTCATGTAAGTGTTTAATGATTGTCTCAATAGGTGTATGGCCCATATAAGATTTTTTAAAAGCGATCTGGTTTGCTTTGTATTATGTGTTCAGGAAAGTATCGATCGTAAAATAGCCCCCCTTTAAATCTCTTCTTCTGGATCAGTAGGGTTCTTTTGCCTCCCGAGACGACCAGAGAGATTATTGGAATGACAGGAAGGAGAGATACAAATAAAGGCGGATTAACCTCCCCTGCTGCTTTGTAATTACTACTTTCTGCCAGGACACTTCTTTGGGTGAAGTGATGCATACAGTGTTTGTATCAATAGCAGGCCATACATCATGTGATCACCAGAGGAGCTTTGCATTGTGTCATTGGGACAGCGTAGGGTGTGTTTATATACTCCAACCAAACAGCGCTCATGAGCTTGAATTCCTCTGGCACTGAGATAATAATTTGCACAGTCAAATTACTTCCTTTAACCAAGGGACTAATCCTCTCTTAATGTCAACCTATAGGCGACCAGAAAGAGAAAGATCGCCATTCGCAAATCCCAGGGGAGAAACGCAGAGGCAATCCGAGAGCTGAATGAGTATCTGGAACAGTGAGTGTTTTACAAGGGGATTTTGTTTTGCACTTCTGCTATATTTTTTTTAATTAAAAAGGAATTTGCATTTGACTTAGGTTCCTTTTTGCATCCAAGCTGTTCTTTTTCCAAGCTCTTTCCCACCCCACCCAGCATCTCAAGCATTTGACCCCTTCTCTTTGCAGATTTGTGGGTGACCAAGAGGCTTGGCACGAACTTGCAGAACTGTACATCCACGAACTTGAGTAAGTTACTCAAAAGACTTTGGATATTTAGGTTGTTAAAAGTAACATAGAATGTATTCCAGAGAACCATAATAAGATTGTAAATTGCGATGAAAATTGAAAGTGTTACTGAAAATGTTTATACGTTAATGAAAATACTATACTAGATACTATATAACAGGTACTATATAGTACTAGGTGCTAAAATATACTATACTAAAATGCTTACCATTTTTATAATGACCCCTTTATTAAAAAATGAAAATATAGTCTACAGTTCATTTAAGGAGACTTTATGGGCAAAGTGTCTTTTGTTAGTCCACCAGCAAGGTATACTAACCCATCTGCGCTCCCCAGCTGTCTCCGCACTGCAGGAGTCCATCTTGGGTAAGCTCCAGTGATGGCGCCTACCTGGGTGGGTAAATATTACTTCCCCTTCCTGCATAACATTGTTTGGCAGTTGACTGCTGAGGCCGAGTCTTTGTCACAGTGTCACCTGCTTCCTCATACCTGGAATATCAGCTCTTGCAGAGAAACAAAACATGAACATTGACAGTGGAGTGGTGGGGAAGTAGTGGGGGTTAGTAAGTAAGATTTTTAAACTTTACTGTGAACCAAGGACAGGTTTCATTTTTACCATGTCAATAAGTCCATGTTATTTGAAGGGTACTAAACCCGGGAACCTGTATTCTCTATGTCCGGTCCTCCACAGTACCCAGGACATGCAAATGCAATTTGTATTAGTAAATCTAAACTACTAAATATCTTTTTTTATCCATCAGCAGTATATAACAGTCTTGTGACTTCTATCAGTGACCAGCTGAGCACTGGCTAATCGTGTAGGAGGAGTTTTCCTTCTTCTCTGACTATCCTATGAGGCTGCATGACCCCTGACACTCTGTCCAGACAGTGCCAATTGGCCCTGTGCTGATCACATGCACTCTCCCAGAAAAAAAAACCAAACAAAAAAAAAAAAACTCTAGAAATACACACCAAACAGAGCATGTGCAGACTTGCCACTGCTACTCTGTGCTATGGCAGATGGATTGGGGATAGTAAAAGAAGGGAAGGGTCAGAGAAGACAGGATCAAACGGCCTTTTTACACATTGAGGATTAACCCCTTAGATTCCACAGTGAGTATAACAAGCTTGCTTTACTGCATATACAGACTGATTTTACTGTTGTGAGTTTAGTAACAGTTAAAAGAAAAAACAAAACATTTCTTTCCCACTCTAACACAGACTCACTTTATTTACTCTTTTGGAATTGACCAGAACTCTCACTCTGGTCTGAAACTGCACAGGTTAAACAAGAATATAGCAAATCCAACACAACAAACACTTTTCTCCTGTGCTAGGAAAAGACTCCGTAGACCCAATAGGGATATTCTGGAATTTTCTGGAATATGCACTGCTTGCTGCCCTCAACAGACAGGGGTGGTCCAAATATACTGGATGCAAATGGAGAAACAGAAAAACGGCGCACCGACCTAGTGCATTATCGTTTAAAATATTTATTGAAGAAACAAAGTAAGTATCATACTCACAATAGACATAAAAGCACAGGCATGTCAAACTGAACAAGGTGTATGATCCAAACAACATCTGAGTCCATAAGATGGAACCCTGGATGACCAACTGGCTAATGCGTTTCAAGGACACAACCTCTTTGAAACGCGTTAGCCAGTTGGTCATCCAGGGTTCCATCTTATGGACTCAGATGTTGTTTGGATCATACATCTTGTTCAGTTTGACATGCCTGTGTTTTTATGTCTATTATATGATACTTACTTTGTTTCTTCAATAAATATTTTAAACGATAATGCACTAGGTCGGTGCACCCCTCTTTCTGCTTCTCCATTAAACAAGAATATAGCAATAGTGTTTTTCATCTCCACTTTATACTAATCAAATTGCTGTTCTGTGATTGGCAGAAAGCAAGACCTTTAGTATCATTAAGCCTTTAGAAATACAAACAATGCCCTGTTAGAATTTACTAGTCTTGTCGTGTTTTTTTTTTTTTTTTTTTTATAAATAACAAACATTTCATACTTCCCTGCACTGTGCAGTGGTTTTTCACAGAGCAGCCCGGATCCTCCTCTTTTCTGGGGCCTCCGAGCAGGTGTGCTCCCGAGCTGTGGCTCTGCGTGTCCATTCACAATTGTAGCTTGATGAAGAGCAGTGTTATGTTGAAACTGCAGTCGTGCAAATTATTGTATGAAAACATACATGAAGTAAAAGAATTCTTGCAACTTGGAGATCTCTCTCTCTCTCCCCCCACAACAAAAACTACTACATCTAGTATTTTGTATGACCTCCATGATTTGTAAGGACAGCACCAAGTTTTCTAGGCATGGAATGAACAAGTTGGCGACATATTGCAATATCTTTTTCCATTCTTCAAGAACGACCTCTTTTAGAGCCTGGATGAAGAGTGATGCTCAGCTTGTCTCTTCAGAATTCCCCATAAGTGTTCGATTGGGTTCAGATCAGGATACATACTTGGCCACTGAATCACTTACACCCTGTTCTTCAGAACCGTGGCCTTAGTTGTGTGTTTTGGATCATTGTCATGTTGGAAAAGTGCCCGACTACCAAGGGCACGGAGTGATGGTAGCATCTTCTCTTTCAATATAGAGCAGTACATCTGTGAATTCATGATACCATCAATGAAATGCAGCCCCACAGAAGGATACTGCCACCACCATGTTTCACTGTAGGCACCTTGCATTTTTCTTTGTACTCTTCAACTTTGCGACGCTGTACAGTTTTGGAGCTATCCGTTCCAAAAACATTTATCTTGGTGTCATCACTCCAGAGTACAGAGTCCCAGTAGTCTTCTTTTTCAGCATGGGCCCTGGCAAATTCTAGGCGAGCTTTTTTGTGCAAGGGCTTTAGGAGAGACTTCCCATGCATGCCATTTCTCTGCAGTGTACGCCATATTTTGTCACGGGAAGCAGTCCCCCCCGTTTGGCTTTCTACTTCTTTAGCTAAGTGCAGTGAACTTGCATGGTGATCTTCTTCAACACTTGTAATCAGAAGACGCTCCTGTCGAGGTGTTAACTGCCATGGACAGCCTGGATGTGTCTGTGAGATGGTTGCAGTTCCATCTTTGTTAAATTTCTGTATCACTTTTGCTACAGTATACTGATTGATAAGTAAAGCTTTGCTGATCTTTTAGCCATCATATTTCTTGAGTAAAGAAATTATTTTCTTTCTCAGGCCTTCTATGTGGTGTCATTGCTGACAGCAAGATATGGGAGGGGTTTTCTTTGTTAAGTAACACCCTTTTATAATCAACTGTCTGCTGGGCACCTGTTTAATTAGAATTTTGTTATCTAAAATTTAGCTTTGCTCGTAAGACTTTCATTGGGGTGTATTCATTTTTGCAACATGGTCTTGAATGAATTTGTTAGGAAAAAAACTTTTTTGTGTTTGCAAATTAACAAATCTTGTTTGCAATCAGTGGCCTGCATTTGTGGGAGTATTTTGCAGTATAGTGTCCCGTAGAAAATGTTGATTCTGAAAGAAAAGTAAAGTTTTTCTGACAAATCTGTTGGTGTGTACTCATTCATGCTGAACACTGTATATATACAATGGGTATAGAAAAGGATCACCCCCCTTTAAAATAATCACATTTTGTTGCTTTGCAACCTAAAATGAAGACGGACACAGTTTTTTGTTTTATTCGGCTATTTTTACTAAAATTCTAAAGCAGAGTTGGAAAAAGAATCACCCCCGTCTTAAAAATAAACTCAATCAGGTGTAGCTAATCACTTTCTCAGTGGCACGAAAAAGCCATTTGACTTTCAACTGTGATCAGCTGTGGTCAATTTGACTAGCTCAGAATGAAAAAAGCTTTCCTGGAGCCTTTCAGTCCCTGATAGTGCAGCTGAAGCAAACAATCAACTGTGGGTGCAAGCCACTGTCAAAAGATCTCTGGGATACAGTTGTGGACGGGCACAAGTCAGGAGATGGATACAAAAACATTTCAAAGGCTTTAGCCTAGAAGCACAGTGAAGTCTATTATTAAGAAGTGGAAGGTGTTTTGTACAACACAGACCCTCCCTGGATCAGGATGTTGCTCCAGACTGGATGGAAGAGCCAGGAGAGACTGGTCAGAGAGGCTACCAAGAGGCCTACAACAACACTGGAGCAGTTGCAGAAATTTATGAGAGAGTGGTCATTGTGAGCATGTGACAACAATATCACAAATCATCTACAAATGTGGCTTGTATGGGAGGGTTTCAAGAAAAATAGCCACACCTCAAGAAAGGCCACATGCTGTCACCACTGAGCTTTGACAAAACGCACCTAGAATATTCTGAGGCCACTTGGAAAAAGGTGTTGTGGTCAGGTGAGATTAAAAATGAATTATTTGGCCTCAACACTAAACGATATGTCTGGTGGAAATGTAATACAGCTCATCATCCAAATAAACACCATTCCTACAGTAAAGCACGGAGGTGGGAATATCCTGTTATAGGAGTATTTCTTTGCACCAGGGACTGAAACACTTGTCAGGATAGAATGAAAAATGGATGGGGCAAAATATTGTCCAATTCTTGAGGAAAATCTGCTGCCTTCTGTCAGAAAGTTGTCATTGAGAAGAAGTTTTACCTTCCAACCTGACAATGACCCAACGCACATCAAAAATGACCACAGTGGTTGAAGGAGAAAAAGGTGAGTGTCCTTGCATGGCCTAGTCAGAGCCCAGATCTAAACCCCATTGAAAATCTGTGGAATGACTTGAAGACTGCAGTCCATAAACAGTCACTGTCAAATTTAACTGAGCTTTAGAAGTTCTGCAAAGAGGAATGGGGAAAAATGTCAAAGTCTAGATATACAAAGTTATTAGAGACATATCCCAACAGACTAAAGGCTATAATTAAAGCAAAAGGTGGTTTAGCAAAATACTGACGCAGGGGGGTGATCCCTTTTCCAACTCAGTGATTCTTTTTGATTTTTTTTTTTCTGATATGTTGGTGCTATATCTGGAGTAAATACAGCTGGATAAAACAAAAACTATGTCTGTCTTTTCTGTCATTTCAGACTGCAAAAGCAGCAAAATGTGGTTATTTTAAAGGGGGTGATTCTATTGCATACGCACTGTATATATTTATCATATGGGTATATAGTATTTTTAGATATAGCTGTGTTGCTACTGAAGAAGTACAATCAAGAATTCTCACTTTGATCAGACGTACGTTGGCAGTGTAATCTTTTGTTTTACCGCTGTTCTGGAAGGAAACATTGGTGTGAGTGAATCAGCCATCACTTCTAGTACACTTTTTCCGTATGATTTTGTGAACTTTGTCCTCCCGGTGAAGGCAAAGCCTCGTGCTATCTGTCTTAAGGGGCTCTGCCCTGCCTATATTCTGTAGTGCTTTATCACATTGGCTGTTTCCTTCCTGCCCATGATGAGTGTATAGTGAAGACTTGTATGTTTTGTCTGAACAATAAAATAAATTAATATAACTTTGAATGCTTTAGAATTATCCGTATTCTAAGGCCCAGTGAAATTTAACACTTTTTTTTTTCCTGGACCTCTAAAGTATCTATAGTGTAAGACACTTCAAATGGTTTAACAAACTGTAGGCATTCCCCAGTTTTGTTGCGTATTACTGCATTACCCACACCTCAATTGGACTGCTTTGGAATGTCCAGAAGGTTAAAGATTTTACGTCCCTCAATTGACAATATAAAAAGTAGGATTTTTTTCAAATCTGAAAATCTTTTTCTTGCAGTCCATTGAGGGACACAGATTCCATCCCACTGTGTTTATGATCATGGACTCGGTACTGCTTTGCTACAGCACTAAGACAAACAAAGTTCGGACTTTTCAGGTATATAGGGAAGCAATGAACAAAGTCAAGTATGTTATAAAATTATATAATATTTATTCACACTTCATCTTAAAAAAAAGACCACATTGGGTGAAATGTAAGCAAAAATATCTGTAAAAACAACCATATAAATAACTGTCAAAAATGGAAGAAACCTAGACTCATCTGTATTGTCACTAAATGAGTCTTCACAAACTAGTATATAATGGCATAGTAGATTGAATCCCCTCTTTCATATGTGTCAGTGTGTTTCGTGGTGAAAGCCGCTCCCTCAGGACTGGACGGTATAGTATTCACTAAATACAAAAAAGAAGAAATGAGCAACACATTAACTGCATACATTTCATCAGGTTACTGCATATATAATAACATATAATCATTTCTCCTCCCATGGCATACGATAAATGTTAGGTGGAGCCATAGGCGGGCCTCTGTTCTCTAAACAGATAAGTCTAGGTCTGTTCCGTGTTTGATGGCCATTTTATATGATGGTTTTTACAAATATTTTTGCTGTTATATTGATCCAATGTGGTTTTCTTTTTAAGATGCAATATGCATAAATATTATATGATTCTATAACATACTTGACTTTGTTTACTGACTCGCTATGTACCTAAAAAGTCTAGTTTTTTTTTTTTTTTTCCAAACAAACTTTGTATATCTATAATTGCATATTTGTGGATATAGGTACAGTAGGTTTCTAGTTTAAATTTATTACTACACTGAGGCATTTGCAAGGAGTTATCCTGGGTTAGCCTGCAGTTTTTTGTTTGCTTATTCACTTTCCTCCCGTAGGCAGCAGTATAACACAAAGTTTAAACTGTGTCCCTCAATAGACTCCATTGGCCAGTTTGTGCTCTCCTTCACTGCTCTGCCACTGCCATCTTCTCATCTTCCATCTACTTCTCTCTTCTACTACTGGGCAGCTAATGATGATGTAACTTTTGCGCATGTGTGCTGGAGCTACATTATTTTGGCAGCCGACTCCGTTCTGTGCATCTTACAGATGCCAACAATGGACCTAAAGTGTGCATTGCACATGCTCACCATAGGCATTGTATACACACAAAAAGATGCTGGGAAAAAGGTTAAGGAGTTTTTTGGGCCACGTTGATTAAATTGAAGCAAGCAACCCAATTAGAATTTCAGGAGTAGGTGAGCCACACAGGGTAGATGATTACAAGTAGGTTCTTACTGCTACTGTTGGCAAACTTGGTTCGTGCTTGAATTTCCATATACTCCTACAGTCAGCTCTGTTACCATCTTTGTTCTTGAAAAACATAAGCAGTCCAAAGGCTTTGTATCAAAAAATATACTAGTCTGTGTGGGCTTCAGCATCTATAGGCATCTACTTAGAAAGTGCATTGCAGGTAATAACAGACAGGCAAAATGCTCAAGCCTTTCACACAGAACTGGAGAAGTCTCAGGAGCCAGTAACTGATACAGCTACTGCCTTACCATTGGGGACCTTCTCCATTTTTGTCATGTTCACATCTGACTCCTGAATTCTAGAGAAATTTGTCAGCCCCTTGTTTTCATGGATGCACCTTTAACATTTATTGTACAGTTAGCATCATGTTGCTTTAAAATGATCAGTACAACCAAAAGTTGTTTTTCAGCTTTTATTAGATTTTGCAGAATATAATAACTTTGTTATATCTCTTAGGGTTGGGGCTCATTGATGGAGTACTTAAGTTTGCACAGATGATATGGCTTCTGCAAGAGGCTCCCATGTCTTGTTGGACCTTTTAAGTCTAATTTCAGGGATTTTTGTAATGTCGTTTTTTTTTTTGTTTTGTTAGAATGAGAGAGTAAGGGTTTTCATACTGACTGTGACCTTATTGGAGAGATTTTCCCCACTTCCTGTCCTTGTGACACTCAGGTAGTTTTCATTGGGATTGGAAGGCACGGGTAGTAGTAAATACAGAAATTCTTCCCCTATCTACACTCTACTATGACTCCAAGTGGGGGAGGAAAAAAGCTGGGACATATTGGGAAGAAGTTATGTAGCCAGTATCATAACCACGCTGGTACTATAGTGTAATAACATCAGAAGACAAAGAAGTAGGTTTGTGTTAAAGAATATCGATGCTGTTTGTCATCTGTAAAGGAATTTTTGATGTCTTTTTCTCTCTTTCTGCTGTATAGCTATGCGAAGGCTTCCTTCTGCCTGGAGGAACTCATATTGACGAACCCACACAATCACTTTTACTATCAGCAGTTTGCAGAAGTGAGTATTGTTAAATGTAACCAGATTTTCAAAAGAGAATTCATGGACACCCTACAGTGAATTGTATACTATAGTATCAGCATTTCCAACTGCACTGCAATATTCGGTGAAATAATACAGATATACAAGCTACTATATGCCTCCTCACACTGCCAGGTCTGAAGGCTCCAGTGGTGTGATACCAGGAGACAGACAGGGGAACCAGGATCACCTATGATCCTCCGGAACAACAGACAGAGGCAGCACATGTGAACCTTTCTTGCTCTCCTGTTCCGTGCTGCTGGCACATTGCCTTTGCTACTGTACAATACAAGTGGCTGCCACTAGGGTTTGCACTGACTTGGTGCAAGCTGTTTCACTTCCTTGAGTGGCCAGAAAAAGGAACGCAGCCCACTGATGATTGACAGCTGCACAATGTGAATATTGAAACACTGCCTGTGCCAAGGACAGCGCCAGGAATATTCATTTGCTGGGGACAGACTCCTCATAATGTGAACTGGGACAAATGGTAACCTTAATGTTAGATTATTTAAAGGATAACTTCAACTTTCATAACATGTTACATCCATATTCAGGGTGTAGCATGTAAGATGTTATGAAATTACCATTCCCCCACTTTGACGGCTAGCGGGGGATCTTCTCCCCCCACTAGCTGTCACAGTTTATTTTTAAATGTGGCCGTGCGGGTCTCTACCTGTCCAGCCACGACACTCATTCCTGTGAATGAGAAACTACAAGTACTGATAGCCCTAGCGGTTTTCGTCTTGTAAATCCCAATGAACTACCACCGTGCTGTGAGCACTGTGGTAGTTCATTCTTCTTGTCTGTAAGTATCAGCTTGCCTGTATGAGGTGCAAGCAAGCAGATATAGTGACAGGTCTGCAGGAGTCCTGCATGGCATCAGCTATCTACTGATCACTGGTGCAATGCCTTCCAGGCTCCTACAACAAAAAAATTATAAATGCACACCTGCAAAAAAATGTGTATTTATCATTTTTTGTTGAAAGGTGAACTTACACTTTAAAATGCTTTCAATTAAAGTGAACCTGTGCTTTGCTAATGAAGGGCACAGTGCAAGGTTCACTTCAGATACCCCCTCCTCAAGCACCACATACTCTCCTTTCCTTTGCTCCAATGCTACTACCTTCAGCATATGTATTATTGTTCAAACTGCTTGGGCAGCACAATGGCTAAATGGTTAGTACTTCCGCCTGGCAGTACCAGGGTCGTGGGTTCGAATCCCAACCACGGCACCACCTGCCTGGAGTTTGCATGTTCTTCCTGTGCCTGCGTGGGTTTCCTCCGGGTACTCTGGTTTCCTCCCACACTCCAAAGACATGCTGGTAGGTGAATTGGCTTCGGTCTAAAGTGGCCCTAGTACGTGTATGTATGAATGTGAGTTAGGGACCTTAGACTGTACGCCCCTTGAGGATTAGGGACTGATGGGAATGTACAATATATATGTAAAGCGTTGCATAAATTGACAGTGCTATGCAAGTACCTGTAATAAATAAACTGCAAGTAATTTGCTTAGCTTACACAGGGCTGTGGATCATTGCTGTGTTTGACAGAGCGTGTGATCGGTATTGGCTCAGCAGTGTCATATTGTCCTCTGGACCTGGAAGTGATGGATATTGCCATTGCTTCCAGCAGCTGAACAGGTTGATAAAGGTACAGAAAGATATTTGTTGCTGCATGGGGGAATCATACGACAGATTCAGTCAGAGCTTTGCTGAACTGTTTTTGGCACAATAGCAAACTTGTTGATATTGTTAATTTTTTTTTCTTAGGTAAAATACAGCCAAGGTGGACTTGAAAATCTGGAACTTGCTAGAAAATACTTTTCCCAGGCTCTGAAGCTGAATAACCACAACATGAGGGCGTTATTTGGCCTTTATATAGTAAGTTTCATTGTGATTGGGAGAATGATGTTTTCATATCGAAGTTACAGCTTCCTTTTACTGCTAGTGTCATGATATTTGGTGATGTCATTATTGTGCTGTTTATTCTCCCTGATGGAGCGGAAGCTGTATTTTAGGGCTTTCAGTGTATGCAACTTTCTTGCTTCTGTTATATCCATTCTGGGAATCTGGGATTTCTGTACTCCGCTTCCTCTTCTTGATCAGTACCCCACCAATTATTAGGAGGAGGGCAGCACTGATATATGAAAGCAAAGCTCTGCTCCTCTACCAAGATGGCTTTCTCCACACATATACCATGCAGACAAGTAAGTCAATAACAAGGAAAAGATAAGCTGCAGGATGCCTACAGGCAATATTGATAACTAGTCATTGGCCCTCAGCTTGCTTTTTGTGTGCACAGTTTTCATAGTTCAGGTCCTCTTTAGAGCAGAACTAAGCTGTAGTTTTTAAAAATTGCATGCGAGTAGGACTCTGTCTCTTCTGTCATTAAAAAAAACTTTTTCTCTGCCTGCAGTCAATTTTTTTTATATTTGTATTCTTGAGCTGCACATATGCTGCTCTGTGTACAATACTGTAATCTGTAAGAGAGTAGTTGCTAGGACAAAGTTACTTGTATCGCCAGCCAAAAGACTGGCTAAAGACTTTGGGCCTGGAAGAAGCCTAGGAAAAGATGACAAGTGGCAATGGAGAGATGAGGAATAGCATGGACCTCGCATTGCAGAAGGATGGCACTTCCATAGATTGGTGTTCCATAATGTGTAAGTATTTTGTGCCCTGGTGATCTGCAGCCACATAGTTCTGTTTTAATCTAACACTTGAATATTTTTGTATCTTACTGATTTTGTACTTTATTATAAGGACCTTCAATTTTTTTTTTTTTAAATGGAGTGTATCCAGCTACATAATATCACTTTACAGGGACGGTCTTGATACATTATAGCTTTAGATGCACTTTCATGGGTACAGATCAGCAGCAGTTTCAGTGCAGATCCTTGCCTCCAGTTCAACGACTTTCTTATTTAGCGAGGGACTTAGGAATACTTTTGTTTCCCGGTTTTTACTGCCACCTAAAGCAGGACTGGACACTGGCAAACCAGAAAAAGTGCAGGCCAATCCAGGATAACCCCTACAACTACCAGCATACCTCAGTTTGACATGCCTTGAGTGTTTGCTCTGTCTCTGATGACTCTGTGAGTATGCCAGTTGGACTGAGCACCAGGAGCTACTTCATTGCTCTGATTGTTTGGTTATTTATAATTCCTGCTTTCCACTGTTTCCTGCTATCGAAAAAGTTAACGCTGGGGGACTGAGCGCTGCTGTCATCTGTTTGGTGGAGTGTCGCATGCCTGAGCTCTTTGCCCGAGTTTCTGCATCAAAAAAAGATTGACCTGCTGCTGCTTTTATATTGCCAAGATCCACATGGAACTCTGATTTGTTTTTGTTTGTTTTTTTTTTTAATGTCCTGATCCTGCTCTCAGTACTGCTTTGCTGCAAAACTAAGGCATGCCAGTAGTAGGAGAGGCTATCCACGTCTGGCCTACCAGTTTTTTGTTTGCCAGTGACTTACTCCTGTAGGTAGCAGTATAACCTGAAGGTGAAAGATGTCTTGTGTCCTTCAATGGGCTTCAAAAATAGATTTTACAGTGAGTACAAAACTCCTATTTTTCCAGTTTTATATTTTTTTCTCTTAATTGCAACTTCTATATGGCGTAACCCTGTTTTATTTCCATGAGATATAATTCCTTTCATTTGTCATTGAGAATTCCAGGCATTCTTCGATTTCTTTTTAAGATATTCTCAGTGGACTGCTAGTGATGTAAACACAATAAACTCTCAAGATGGCCACATGAAACCAGTAGAATTGTTTTACTTGTGCACAGTGACATCAGAAGATGAAGTAGTTGCATTGACTGTCATTAATCTCCATTAGGGCGTGGGTGATATTTACTTATCATGTTAAACTGCTGTTCTTTTCAGTCATCAGTCCACATCGCTTCCAACCCCAAAGCTAGTGCGAAAATGAAGAAAGATAATGTGAAGTTTGCCACTTGGGCCTCTAATCAGATAAAGCGAGCATACCAGGTAGGTTTTGTAAAACTGTAAGACATCTTGTTTGTATTAAAGCAGAACAAATATTGTCTAAATACAAGAGCCATGTGTTTTCTTGCTTGGTGTACTTTGTGTGTTTTTTTTCCAGATCTGTGCAGTAATCTTCTATGCAACTCTGCCTCTGTGCAGGAGCTGCCTATAATAAAGACCTGTTACTGCTGCTCGCTTTCCTTGTGCAGGGGGACTGGCAGCCTGTAGTGGTTAGCGCCTGCTGGGTCCATCCCATAACTCTGTTTTATACACTCTATGTACAGAACAGTGATGATGTCACTGCTACTGGGTTTGCAGTGGCATTTGCTGCACACAAAGTGAATTTGTGGCTATTAAAGAATATTTTTAAAGGAAAGTTCTTGTGCCTGAGATTGACTAAAGCCAGCCATAGACGGTTTGAATTTTGGCTGGTTCAACAGGGACCTGCCTAGATTCTAACCATATTTGAGCAGGTTGAATTTACCCAAGTTAATTGATCAATCAACTTGGGTACAACCAGTCTGGTGGTTTTTACATGTAATTATTGCTAGTGGCTATTATAGCCGCTAGCTGTAATCACTGTGTTCTTTTGCAGGGGCTCCCCTTCCCCCACACTGTGAGAACACAATGGCTCTGCAGGAGGGATTCCACCATAAACACTGACTGTGTTGAGGGGGGAATCAAGTGATTTTCTTTCTGCAACCCTTGGTTGCAGGAAAGAAAATTGCTCCGTCTATGGGTGGCTTAAGCAAACCTATTTCTGCCTCAAGTGTACAACTGTCATTAACCTCTTGCCAACCGCGCTATAGGCGAATGACGGCTATGGCGTGGTCGTCCAGTTCTGGGAGGGCATCATATGATGTCCTACCAGAATGCGCCCTCCCGCGTGCCCCAAGCGGCGCATTCCCGGAGATATCCATGATCTCTGTGTCCTACAAACACAGATGATCATGTGATGAGGTAAAAGACAAATCACAATGGCCTTTTACCATGTGATCATCTGTGTCCAATGACACAGCAGATCACGGAGTAAATACAGTGTCTGGTATCGGCAGCACTTTCCCCACGCTGTCACAGCATAAGGAAAGTACTGCCGATAACTGTCAATTGTCATAGAACAGATCAGTGCCCAGCAATGCCACCCACCAGTGCCCAGCAAGGCTGCCCTGCAGTGCTTCTTGTCAGCGTCGCCCATCAGTGCTGCCTATCCATGCCACCTCATCAGTGCTGCCTATCAGTGCCCATCATTGCTGCATCATCAGTGCTGCCTATCCATGCCACCTCACCAGTGCCCATCAGTGTAGCCTTATCAACGCACATCAGTGAAGGAGAAAAATTACCTGTTTGCAAAATGTTTGCTTATAGTGCAAAAAATAAAAACACCCAGTGGCGATTAAATACCATCAAAAGAAAGCTCTATTTTTGTGAAAAAAATTATAAAAATTTCATATGAATAGTGTTGCATGACTGTGCAATTGTCATTCAAAGTGTGACAGCGCTGAAAGCTGAAAATTGGCCTGGGCAGGAAGGGGGTAAAAGTGCCCGGTAGGCAAGTGATTAACATTATTCACAACTATAATTATAATTAACTGTCTTTACCTGTATTCAACAAATCCAAATACACCTCTGTCTGCCTAGCAGGGCCCTAAATCTTGGACACAAGCTTTGTAGAGGTCTCAACTTTTGCCTCTGCTGAAAATATTGCCATCCCATAAATGATATGGTAATGTCTTGGTAGCCAATACTGACACTTAGTGAAATGTTTAGATTTTTCCTTCACTTTTTGTCCTGTGGACACAACAAAAAGGAGGAGGTCTCTGCAAAGTGAGTAGCGATGTCCCCATACACCAATGATACCAGAACAAGTGTGCCATTGGAAGATATCCCTCTATTCTCCCGAACTTTTCAGTCCTGAGGACAATGGCCACCAGGGCAAAAAGAGCATGGGGTTCTCTAATGGGGACACAAACTGCAATTAAAACTTGATAGGGGTCCAAACTCCCTCAACACTATTCAAAACTTAGGAAGGCCATACATTATGCATTTTTCTTCTTTCAACCACAGGTTGAAGGAAAGAAAATTGCGTGATTTCTCCATCAGCACAGTCAGTGTTGATGAAGGAATTGCTTCCTCAGCGCTATTGTGTTCTACCGGCATGGAGCCTTTCCCATCTTCAGAATACAGTGATCATTGCTAGCTGCTGCAGTGATCGCATAGATGGATCAAAATTCGTCTGGTTGTTGTCGAACTGGCTGAATTTTGATCAGTCTGTGGCCGAATTTAGAAAGAAAAATCCTGTTTGTGGATACACTCTAAGCTTTTAATGTTTTGGACAGCAGGAAACATAAATGCATTACATATTTGCTGAGATGGGGTATCCGTATGTTCCTTTTTTGTTTTTATTTTCCACTTTTTTTGGACAAGCTGATGAAGTTCAATATGCCCAGGCCTATTTTTGTAATTGCAGATTTAGCAAAGTTGAAATAACGTTTGCAGAACTATTTGGTTTCTGAAAGGCTGTTCCATGTGATTAATGTGGACAAAAAATAATTGCTTGTCAGACAGAACGAACTCAATCAGCTTGTTGTTACCAGTGATCAGAATTATGTTTGACATTCTCTGTGTGTACTAATGGTATTTCTTCAGGCATACTTGCACACCTCGGCTAACTAAGTCCAGGCAGACTGGATCATGAGCAGCCCTGTGCTTGGTGTGCTGTTAGTGTGAATGTTTCAGAATGCTGTCTTTTCAATCACTTTGTAGGTAATGTTTATACAACCCGATGTGTTTTAAACATTGTTTGAAGTTTTTATGGTACAGCATATGTGTTTTATTTGTGACATTCTAGCTTTATTACATCACAAGAGGAAATTTATATCGTGTTGTGATTTCTATTTGGAAACCTCTGGTACCTTTTTTAGAATAGAAAGCAAACATGTACTATAGTAAAAGCAAGGAAACCGTGCATTTTATTCAGTGGAGCAAACACATATTTTGAGTGTTCTTTCAGAGCTGCCAGGGACGTCCAAAACTGCAGATCTCAACCTTTGACTCCAGAGTAAAGCTCTGAAGATCCAGCTTTAACCGGTTACATCTCTCCCTTATTCAATGTTAATTATGATGAATGACTTTTTGACTAAACAAGTTACAGGAAGGGAGGTGTCAAAGCTGGACTTTGAGCTCAATATAGATTAGGATTGCTGAGTATCATGGGTTCCAGTGTACCAGTGAAGCTCTGAAATACAAGGGGGGTAGGTACATCTAAGTACCCATATTTAACCTCCCTAGCAGGCTGATTATGTCAGTATTTCTGTGCTCAAAGCGGTACATTGTTTTCAATGGAAATATGTTGTTTTTTTATTGTAGGCCTGTAGTTCTTAGGAATAACTCACTGAAATCTGTCCGAACAAGAGTCTAGTAAACATCCCGGCATGATAAAATTTGAAACACGAAATCATAAATTATAATAAATAATCTTAAAAAAATAATACAATAATAATAAATTTAATTCAATAATGTAATCAAACCAAAAACACTGAAGTTTTGAAATAGAGCGCCAAGTTCGCACATCGCTGAGCAAAGTCGCATAATCGTTTTCAGTGTCTGTTGACAAATTTCTCCACGAATTGTCACTCAATTCTGCAAGTGGTTCTAATTTACAATTGCTGTTCTCTAGCTGGTCTAAAACCGCTTTTGACCTTTTTGGGCGCCATGGACGTTTCTCAGTTTCCAGGCAGAAAGAACGGTAAAAAATGCAGGCAGGGCAGAGGACAAAGCACTTGGGACAAAATGTATGGGAAATGGTTTGATACAGTAATGTAATACTATCAGATTTTAGTGTATTAAGTGACTGTCAAATTTTTAAAATTTCCGCCGGTTACATCCCGACGCTCGCAGGGAACCCTGAAGACAGCTGCCGGCATCAGCCGGAGGACATGGCTGGGACGCTGCAGGGGGGACATCGCGGGACAGCAGGACAAGGTAAGTGCTCGAGGGATCCCAGAGCAATGCTGCAGTGTAATCCTGAATGTAGCTCGGGGTTACTGCTTCTGTTACTGAAATTTAACCTCGAGCTACACTCGGGAATACCACCAGAGAGGTTAAAGTGGACCTGACCTTCAAAAGTGAAGATATCTCAAATTAATAATTGTTCCTATGTAGTACACTGAAAAAATAGCAGTGCACATCCTGTGCCTAGGCACTACTCCTGTTTCTTTATAGCTATATATTTGCAGTGTAAAATCTTCTAAGGCAGTGGTCTCCAAACTGCGGTTTTTTGCTTGCCTTTATCCTGCTGTTGGGGCACTACTCCCCACTGATGTGAAGCACCAATCCTATATGACACTAATCTTCCCACTGACACCAACAATGAGGCACCATTCCCTCTACGGACAGCAAAGATGGGGAATTCCTCCCACTGACCACCAAGCGTGACCACATTCCAACCCCCTGTTCCAAGACATTGCTATGTGTCACTGCCAGTCTCATAAGAGTTGGAGTGAGAATATTTGTTGTCACTACTGTGCTGCTCACTGTCGTCCTTGCTGGAGAGGAAGGTGTACCTGATGATCTACAGTGCAAGGATCTCCCTTCTTCATTCATTCTGTGGATCTGTACTTTCTGAACCTCCCCTTGCTGCTGCATTCATCTATCATTTATCAGATCACCAATCATCAGGGGGGCTGCACTGGTATGAGGAAGCAAATCCCTTCCTCTGCCAAGATGGCAGAGAACCAGGCGTGGTAACTTGGCTGTGGAGGAAAAGATCAGCTGCAGGGAGCCAACCTACTTGCATATACCAATACCCAGCGACTTGACTTTTGCCCTATGCTTGCCTTTTTTGAAGCACAGCTCTCACAGTAAGTTGCTCTTTCAAATAAACCTGTACTGAGAACATTTGTTGACAGCCATTATTTGTGTCCACTGGAAATGTTAGTTACCTGTCTTTTTCAAGGATTTTAACATTTACCAAGTCACTGACCTGGAACAAGTTTGCAAATTAG